ATTCTCGCCCTAGGTACTTGAAAAGAAAAGTTGGATGGTCTCTTTTAATTAATTACGATGAAGAATGCAAAATACTTAACAGAATCGTGCTCGTTTTCTGTTCTTGTTTACAATTATTCACTGCAACATGGTAGTCTTGTCATCTATTGCTTATAATACTGACGGTTGAGTCGTCAGTTCATTGCGAACGCGGGTGTTTTGTTCAGGATTATTTTATTAGCAACTGTTCATCACCAAGCTGTCGGTATAATTATCGTCATTGTCTCCGTAAGGAAGTGAAGCTTCTAGTTCTGCAAGTAACTTGAGCACCGCGTGTGCACGTGTCAGGTAGACGCTCCGGAAGAAATTTTAAGCTGGTATAATCTGATCCGACTCCTCTATGTGTGGCGCTACAGAACATGACGTAATAATTCCAAATGGAACCCGAGGGATACGACTGATTCATGTTGCGGTTAACGTTTTGTTGCATCCATTAGATTATTAATGGTGAAATCTGACTCGATCTACACATTTCTACTCGTAGTTAACCTACCGCTCAGCGTCTAGATGTGCACGCAGAAACGTTCTTTAGGCTAATAAAACGTTCTTCATCTCGCTAGTAAAATTTGTTTGAAATTTCATTATTTCAAAGAGAGGGTAAAATGATTTAGTAGCTTATTTTAATTTGTAATGTATTATATATAAGCGTACATATTCCGCGAGAAGGTTTGTGTCTGAGGAACGATAAGCAGTTATCATTTGATAACACGTTCACTTATGGATTAATGTGGGAAAAAGAGATAGATTCTTCAGATCTGTTCAAGCAAAGATGATTGTAATTGTTAAAAATACAAATTTTTCCAATCTTGAAGTTAAACTTGTTACCCTATTATACCTTAGTTCCTTAGCTACCTCGTTACCTTAGCTACCTCGTTACCTTAGCTACCTCGTTACCTTAGCTACCTCGTTACTACCTTAGCTACCTCGTTACCTTAGCTACCTCGTTACCTTAGCTACCTCGTTACCTTAGTTACCTCGTTACCTTAGTTACCTCGTTACCTTAGTTACCTCGTTACCTTAGTTACCTCGTTACCGTACCTTAGTTACCTCATTAACTCAGTTACCTGACTTACCTCATTAACTTAGTTACCTCATTACCTTAGTTACCTCATTACCTTAGTTACCTCATTACCTTAGTTACCTCATTACCTTAGTTACCTCATTACCTTAGTTACCTTATTGCAAGCGTTGCTGAGAAGATTATACGTTTATTTAAGTGAGCTTATAGGTGAATTTCGCGTACTGAATAGCTTCAAACTGTTCTGAAATTTGAGCCAAACCGTCCTCACAATAACCTGGATATATCAGGCTAAATTTAATAAATCTGTTCTTAATTGAGTCGAATGAACCTCGCCACAAGTTAATTGGATAGTGACAGGTATTTAATTGTCAATTTTGGTTCATAAGGGCATTGCACCGTCTGGAGTTGAATGATTTTGATTTTCGCTCGTGATGAGAAAGCAATTATGTGGAATAAAATGAGAAAAAATTGATATTAAATATGCTTAGATTAGAAAAAAAACATTCCTGGGTGGGTCATGATGTCGAGATCTATGAATGACATACTCTTCCAACATCTAAATAATTGATAAATTCAACATCTAATAATTTCAACAATTGAACTATTGTTCATACTTCAATTAATTCATAATATCTCATACTCATGATGTTTTTTAGCTGCTGCAGAACGTTTGGAATATCATATTAAATAAAACCATTTCTTCATAAAAGAAAACAATCTTGCGTTCAGTTCGTCGGCCTCTGACCCTTTAGGTTGCTGCAACACATGCGAGGGACTGGCTTACTACACGACCTCTAGCTGCTATGAGACAAATTCAATTTTATAACTTTCTCAGTTGATGAAAAAATTTATTATTTTGGTATCTTTAAGTATGCTTTCGTTCTGATACAGGCACTTTAATCAAAATTGATAGTTTTGTATTACTTAAAGTGATCATTCACATGTTTGACATTGTATATATTTTTATAGAATATATTGCAATTTATCATTATAATTGTGTAATAAACTACAAAAACGTCCAATGTGGAAAAGGTGGAAGTTGTGTATGGAGTACGTGAGCAAAGTACGTAAAATGATGGCTGTGTTTATCCATCCTAGTCGCGAAAACCTTCAGATTTATAATTCAACACCAATTGCCTTACATGAACCAAGCACGGATGCCTGCGAAACTTCCGCCTTTGCATGCGTAAGACCAGGCATTATTTTTGTGATGATAAACTGATGATTCAGTACGCATTTCATCTATTTTAAACGAGTTAGAGCGTGATGTGCACTCAGTGTACAGGCCTGAGCTTTTCTTCTCCTGTTCGATGAGCATTTTTACTCTGTATTCATATACCTACTGTTTTTCTAAAATGTTTTTTTATTTGTCTCGGTTCAATATCTAGTGCCATAGTTGTTAGCATGGTCCGCGTTACATCATCATAGTGGTTATAAATGTGTGATGCGAATTATGAAGCTTAAAAAAATTCTTCGTGTTTTTTTTAGGTTTTTTGAACCTCTGTCACTGAAAATAATTTTTGAATTACGTCGAACTACAACCGACCACCTTTTAAAAACGTTTTTTAGTGTTGGCCTTTATAAAATTACGAGAATGTATATTGCAAACTGTTGAGCAATTTTCAATTCTGTTTTCGCGTTCAGATACACACATCTGAAAGCTAAAAATACACGGCATAAGCGAAGACCATTTATACGGAAATAGTTTTGAAGGATTGTTTCCGAGGTTCAGCATACTTTGTATATCGTTCATAGCAAAAATGCATGTCTAAATTTTACTTGAGCAAGATCTTCTAACAAAATATGTTTAGTTTCCTCAGGGAACAATTAGTATCCGACTGTGATACCTAGAACGTTTTGGTGGTGTCTGTCTCCGCGCTCCGGTTTTTTAGAGAACGATGTCGGCGACGGCTGCATTTAGCGACTTAGCAACAAGTTTTTATGGCACGCTCGTCTGTTGCTGGATTTTTATGGAGGTGGTCGTCGCTGAGCATTAGGATCTTGACCACACCCATAAAAATGCATTGCTGCATTTGCTTATGGGGAAAAATCATCATTTTATATTCAAGTTATACCAATGTTCTTTGATATGCTCAACTGTTACAACTGTTTTTTTTTTCTCTTCTATTTCACATGAATGTTTTACTGACCGCTGCCAATCATACCATTGGTGCCCATGCACCTGAACGTCATTCTTTTCTCCAGATTCATCAGCCGTATAATATATACGGTACCTAAATTCTAACTAATACGGTACTCTTATCGTTGCCATTGGTACGTACATATTTCAAATCTATAGGTAGTACCAAAAATCGGGATCTCTCATTGGCCATTGCAGCCGCTAACGCACAAGGTTTTCGGTGGGGCTGGATTCATTTGTTTAGTCTAGCGTTTTTGGTGATTGATTTGTTCTAATGTTCTCGGTACGAGTTAACGCTAATTGTGTCGCGCGCCAAATTCTTCTTGTAACTATGATTGACTTCAGGACGAAATGTCACCTTCACGAGAAAGTTTAACATTTTGAACAAAGTTTTCTTAGTTTTAGTATTCTTAAATTTATAAGCAATTAAAAGCCATCATGCATATTGTAATGTTTATTATACGAGATGAGCAATGTTTAGGTATTCTGTATGAAACCTGTTTTGTTTATTGATATTGTTTGTATTTTTATTTACATTCAAAACTCCTTCTTAATCCTAGGACAATGAATCGCTACTTCAATTCGGCAGCGTAGCTGGCCCGAGACAGACAATAAGGCGTGTGTTTGCTCAAGGAATTGAACTCGTCAATTAGAGTACATCTGGAACAAAATGAAACCATTTGACCTCTAAAGTTAAAGTGGAGACATCAAGGCTCTTAAACTCGAACAAATCCCTGTTAAAAAAGATGTGTAAATTAATTCATAACTTGAAATTTATCACAAATTTTCGCAATGGAAACAGCACTCATATTTCTTAATGAAAGAATTTAATGAACCGCTTCGAAATTAAGTCGCCATCTCCTGTTCGACCTTCCTACTTCGCCGTAGAACGGTAGTCCCTATGTCCTATTCCAGCAAAGTGGAACAGTTGCTATGCCGCGACCGTATCGATCACGATGGTCCTCTACAGTAATGACGGCCGTATTGTTCCGAGTTCACTGACGTCTCACCCCTTCGAAAAATCACACAAGTTTTACACAGCCGTAAAACTGTTCACGGCTGGACTTAGGAATAACTGTGAAGGCTTTCACTTCTGTATCGTTGCTGCCAGCTCGTGCCCGTATTGGCCCCCTGTTTTGCCCGACCGTACTATTGACGTTACTTCGATATTAGCCTTTATAATCGCAGCGCGCCCAATTGCTTCTCGTGTTGACCCGTAATATAGTCACGGCGGATTCGATTGCTACGTTAATGTTGGCCGCACAGAAATGTAGCGAAGTCGTTGTCGTCATTTGTAAATTGTAGACACTTTTACAAGAACTTACTTGCTGTATCGATTAGTTTTATTTTCTCGCGACCGTTGAATGTTCGAAAACTGGTGAAGCAGCCGGCCTCATGGCCGCTCCCGTCACAACGCCCGCAGACTGCAGACCGTGACGGGTGACGTGTAGCTCCCAATTAGGAATGAAGAACCTCTGCCGCGAACTTCGGCTCATTTTATACGTAGTCACAGCGCTCACTTCTCCCTACCATTTGAAGGAGAACCGAATTCCTTGACTCAAGGAATTTTCCTCGCGATTAGCTCGCCAAAGTTTGATGTAAACGAACTCGTCTCGAGGACTCGAAACAATCGCATCTCACACGAACAACGCCGCTTGAACGCACATTCCTAACCTTCTCATTCACAAGAAAAATGTGTAGAGACTGTAAAGAAGAGTTTGTGGGGGCAATTTGTCAATCAATACATTAGAATAAATTTGCAATTTTTAAACTAATTTTTGTTTGTTATAATAGGTGCACCTGGCTTGCGAGCTTCGTTTTGACGGTAAGCCTAGTTTGTTTCAAAATTATTTTTTTCTATTTAGGGTAAAAGATGATTAATTTATTATATAATTATTTTTTCTGTAAATAATGGTCAATACGGAAAACTAAACAACGGGACATATACTAACTATGCGTTAAACACTAATTATGTTTGTAATCTTTAATTTTTCTCTAAGTTTTTTCGAACCTTACATTTGTTAATAAAGATGAAGCAATGCATTAACCTTTTTCAGATCATGATATATGTTGTTGATGGTTATAAATTGTCAGTTACTGCTTTGCTGGCAGATGATCGCAATGATCGAAGGCAGATGATGTCGATTGCTTGACCTTCTATCTAGTCCTTCGTCGGGCAGGATATAGAGCTTCTATTGAAGCTGCTCCACGCATTTCCTGTTTACATCAGTCCACATCCCTATAAATTATTTATGACCAGCTCACTTAACTTTTGCAACCTGAATACATAACGTTGATCTCGTAGGCGACCTGCCGAAAAGTGTCTTTATGTGTAAATTAGCCGAACTGGTCTCGATGAGCGCGACATCAACTTACGAGACTTTCTTCCTTGCGAACGCTTTGCTTTTCTTTTGTGTTGTAACATACAGTATTGTATTCTTTAGGTGCGGTTTGAAATAAACATTGTATTAATAGGATGGCATTAAAATTACCAACTGAAACGCTTGATCAGCTTCCGAGATGAAGACGTCACTCCAGGTACAAATTGGCATTGCCATTATATATTATTATTATATTATTGACAGTTGTAGCCACTTACTGACCGCCAATGAAATCCTTACAAACTATAGAGTCTGACGAACTTATTAGAGCCTGACTCGGTGTTGAGAAATGGTGTTCCACTCACTTCCAAGGAAGGAGAGTTTTTGGCTGTATTAATTTAATATCGTGGACTGGACTGAGCTAACATAAAGCAATTCTTTTCTTTACTTCCCAGAGATTCTAAAGACTTAATAACTTTTCCATGAATATTTGTTGGTTCATTCCGTTTATTAACATGGAATTGTTGAAGAAGCTGCGCGCCCTTGTATTGAAGTACCTACCTATACGGTATGTAAAATTCTTGAATTCAATTATTTGAAGGAGTCGCTTAAAGCTCAGTGTTTAAATCCTTTCAGTTTTTATGTAAATGTAAGTACCGTTCTGTTGGCGTATTAAGTCGTTTTACAACAAATCTGGTGTATTTGAGTCATATCATAATATCCGAGCGAAGGTCGCTCCCTATATTGATGTTCCCTTGGGGCTTTGACGATTAGGTATTTTCTTACATTTAGAATTTTCGATTGCTAAAAATTGTTGTCAGAAATCCAGGAGCGGATATCCAAATTCAAATTATTCCTTGCTCATATCCCAGCAATTCTAGAGGCCAAAGACCATGTGGAAAGGATTAACGTGAAACGATTAACGTGATGAGTCACTTTAATCGCGTTGAACGCATGGTGACAGAAGTTGGATAGAAATGCAGTTCTATGGAACACCAATAGCTACATGACTGTTATGTCAACTAAGATTTTTATCAGGAAACCTATTAAAATAAGAGAATCGTGGTTTTTTGGCTTATTTTATGTGCAGTCACGCGGTTGAAAGAGTATATTACTCACTAAACTCTTTAAATAATTTATATTTCGATAGTCTTTGAAACGTTCGATAGGAAGTGGGAATTATGTGCATTATAGCTAACAAATTGCATTCTTTATCTTAACCTATTCAGTTAAAATATTGTTTTTGTTTATTAATTTTGTTGAAGTGATTTCGTGTGATCAATTTTTTCTTGCTGAACAGTTTTTTCATTCAACTAGTGCGGAAGAAAGGCCCTGTGTTTAACCGCGTGTTAAGTTGGAAAGCCAGCCAAAATTTATTTTATTTTGTTAGTGATTCATTGAAGGTATGATATAATGCATTCTTATGATTTTACTCCCGTTTCTAGGCTTCGTCAATCTAAGTTTAGGATGTTAGCTTCGGAAGAGGGCAATCCGGATTAGATTATGACTATCACGAATCATATCGATTTCCTTCAGAATAAATTGTTTTGTTATAACGTTGGCTTATAATTGCAAGATTTTTGCCGGTATTGTCTGGCGTTCTGTCAGACTGAAGGCCGGTTATAACCGGTATGATTTTACATCTTTGAACTTCCTTAGTGCTCCGACTACTTTGCAATATTCTGGATGATTGAAAGTTCAGGACAATTCATGGACTTTGCGGGTAAACTAGTTACTTTTCCTATAAAGTTGACGGGCGCATGTAGCATCGAATTGAAATCAGCTCGACCCTTTCTCAGATTTTTACTCGCGAAGCCATTTGAGCGCTAAGAATGTTCTTAATTGGAAGAGATGTTTGCTTCCTCGGCTTAATTAATTGGTTGATGATCGTACGTTGCGCAGTTTGATGGGCTCAGTGTTTTTCTGACTGTTGTGTATGTATTTCACGATACACTCATGCGGTGATCTTTTTTGTGTTATCATAAGTCGACAAAACAACATGATTGAATTTGTACGGAATTTATAGGTACTTTGAACTGTTATCTGGATTAGCTGCTCATATTAAAGCATGACATTGCGCGACTCTCGGGTGTTCTTTATTATTTATACTTCGATCCAAATCTTGTGTCTCACGGAATGATGTGGGCGTTTGCTGATAAGTTACAAGTTTATAGAAATTGTTACTAGTTTTAGTATATATTTTTTTGTGCTTACCAGCGTTTCAAATTTTAGTTTCTCCTTCGATGTGCATTCATCACGATCAGATGTTCAAAATTACATGGGTTTATAATCGTGTCTTTGGAATCATGGAGCGAATTTTTGTAATTTATATTTGGCTTCTAATTGATTCGTCTATCATAACAATAGTTGATGTTGAGTAAACTCGTTAATTATTAAAATGTTAGGGTTGTCTTCTTTCTTCCTATAAAATTCGTATTTGTATAATGACAAGAAACTTAGATGAATGTCAAATAGTTTAATGTATACATCTTCTATGTTTTCATCTGACTTCTCTGCAATAGGATTTCATTGTTCTCATAACCGCAATGAGCATTCGCCTCTCTAATCCCATATCAGTGATACGATCTGAACCGCTGAACCGCAAAGTCCTGCTGATTGGTAAGATGGACTCGGTCAATCGTAACTGCATGCGGATGATGTCGATCGTCAAGTTTTATCAGATTCTTTAAATGACATGATAAGTCTTATGCGCATACTCGGGCTGGATGTTGAATTTACGACGCACATTTTCAGAATCCGGTTTGAGGAGTGCCTCTGGTACTGGCTCAAGCTCCTGGCTACATGACGTAACTTGCTGTTGCTATACAAGGCCTCTGAACACGAATATCATGGACGACGATTAATGCATTTGTAGACGGAAAGGTTAAATATTTTTTGGCCGAGTGATGAGTTATACTGAAAAACGTTGTTGAAAGTGCGAGCAAGATGTGCGTCTTCGCTGTGCTCGGTGTACGTAAGTAGTTAATTATTTATAGTTTTATGTAATATGTAAGAGTTTTGTACACTCTCCTGAATTAAAGGATAACTCATTACGTAGAATTTAATTTCGATATCGTCAACGTCCAAACCTAATGTTTCAGAGATCCTCGTTATATAATTATAAGTTTTGACGACGACGTTTTTTTTAATGGGATCGGATATAGGGTACGTTCAGAACGTTCGTCTCTGAAGAGGAATGTCCCTTAAATATGTCAATATTTAAAGAATTTCGTGGTGACTTCTATGGTTCGTTGTATCGGTAATTCTGTCTTGAAAATAATGTGTGTGACGATAAGCTTCATGTATTGGTCTTCAAACTTTTTATGAAAAGTTTTGAATGTGTTTTTAAATTGAAATTTAAGTTCGAATCAAAGGAAATGCATTAATAGGACAAAATTAAAAACATAATTAGCTAAATACATTTTTTCTTGCTCAACTTTTGAATTCTGCGGAATCTCAATTCTCAACCGACTAAGCTGCAATCGCTGCCTTTGCTGTGCTGTGACGTTGCGGATTTTTGTTGTCACATTTCCGAAACCCATTTTGCTTCACTGCGCAATCTTGCACTCCCGCCATACAAAGTTGTGGCACCGTCTAACGTTTCTGACAACTTTCCTTGCAGTTCTTACGATTTTATTTATGTATTTCCGATGTTTGTTTGTGCCTGCTTCTAGAACCAAACTGGTTTGTAACTTTATTAGGCAGGTCTTTGCTTCTATATACTTCAGTCATCCGGCAGCGCTTTCAAATATATGGTGCATGGTTACTAGATACGTTTAACACGTTCTCCGCGTATCCGGTTGCACCACTATTCCCTTATTGTGAAAGGCTTTCAGTGGTTGCTGCTTTAGTTTATTACTGCAGTTTCTTATCGGTTTTTCAAGGATATGTGTTTAAGTTATGTGTCTTTTATCGAAACTGCGTCAAATATTGCGTTCGGTACGCTTTTGTACCAATACGCGATAAACATGTTAATATTAGGTGCAACATGCTCATTTAACGTTAGTTGCACGTACCTGCTTCTGATCACTGTGTTTTGCTATTCATATTACATATATTTAATAAACATGCTTCAATTTGCTGTAATAATTTTTTTACTATTCGTTGGATTCATACTGTAAGTTAGCTCGCTACCGAGATTCTCATGCCTAGGCTTTCATGATTTTTTTCCTCAGCTCTGTTTGCTTTGTCGTTCATCGGGCTTTCCCGCCTTATACAGGACATGCAAGTTTATTTGAGTGAGATCACACACGAGGCTATTCTTGACTGATGCAACGTCCGTTGAAGTTGCTGAGACGTTTTCAACTGCACTTTTATTTCTACTGCACTCTTGTTGTCTCCATACTTTGCTCTCGTATTGGTATCCTTTTCTATTTTTATTATTTTTGAAAATCAGCATATTCCTGAAGCTCAAGGTGAACTCGAGATCCATCAAGTTTTTTTAATAAATATAAGTCCTCCTGATTCTGTTTAGGCATTTCATTACTTTTTTTTAATATTAAGG